GGCAAACCAGATGTTGCAGTGTACGATGGGGCCTGGGTGGAATGGTACATGCGGGCACAGCCTGAAAATATTATTTCTGAGGGAAAAGGGAAGACGGTTGTAATAAGCTGCTTTGCCTCCCAGCTGTGCAGGTAATTTGCCTTGAAACAGGATTTGGGAAAGAAGGGTTTAGCATTTCCTGGTTAAGTGTCTTGAGGTGAAGATGTTGGATAACAATTATGTGCACATGGTGCTTGGGCACTTTCTCCTTACCCTGCTGTTGCTGCTTAGGAGAATAAAAATGACAACAGTTCTGGGCAGCCAGCTCTAGGTGACCCTGCTTGAGCAGGTAGGGTGAAACAGATGTCCTCCCAAGGTCACTTCCAATCTCTGTGATTCTGTACCTGTTTTGCCCTATTGGATGGAAGGGAAAAAGTGCTGCTGCCAGCATGGGGAAATAATTGAGTCAAGCCAAGCTCCTGACTCAGAACATTCCACCATGTTCATTCATAGAATGGTCATACTTGTATAACCATGCCTCGTAATCCTGCTCTCTGCCGCTGTCCTAGAAGCCATCCATGCACTTTATGGCCATTTTGAGTTCAAAACTTTGTGGAAAGAAATGGCTATTAAAGGAGCAAATATGGCTTTCAGGTTGGCACTTAGGCTAGAGACTCGATTTGGATTTCTTCTTTTACTTGGACTCTAACTGCAGTGTATACTTAGCCAGCCTTATATCCCCATGGCCTGAAATCCCCCTGGAGAAAAAGAAAAGATTCTGGGATTTAAATAATGTAAATAAACTTATGTTTCAAGGTCTTTCTGCTGAATGGATCTTATGTGAATGTTGTTTGGGTGATTCCTTTTCAGGAACTCTGCTTTTAAGGGATCACTTTGTCTTGATGATTCAAATGCAGTGTTTTCTTCTCTCCATGAGTAGAACTACACCTCTTACCCTCAACAAGGTCATTCATCCAGGAAAGACAATGTCATGCCTCTCTTTCAGGTCTTTGCACTGTGTTCCTCCTTTCAGTCCTTGTCCATTTGCTTTTTGGCCTGAAAGTCAACATTGGTCAGTTACAGCTCTCTGCTTCAAAGACTGGATGTCACCTCACGTGGTGGAAAATGGACTGCATGGGTGTTTTCATTCTTTCCATGAGACTTAGCATGCAACCTTCCCCTAAAAACTTAGGGGAACTGAGATGTACAGAGGAATAGCCCACAGTGGCACCTGCTTTTCCCCAAGACCATTGTCTTCTATATCTGAAAGTTGAAAGTACACCAGATATCCCTGATAATGTTCAAGAATTTGTTCTTTCTAGGATCTTCTCCTCTACAAAAAAACACAACCAAACAAACAAAACACACCCAAAAAAACATAGAACCCTCCCACAATAAAGCCTGCATCTCTTCTGCCTCTCACTGGTAATTTAGAAATAATGAGACAAATTCTGTGCTCTTGGGCTTGCAGCAACAGGTACATGTAGAAATCTATGGGTGACAGGGTTGTCCTTTCTAGGGCATACAGTGGATGCTTATTGTCAGAGATTTGCAGGGTACCCTCCTAGCCACTGATGCAAGGATTGGATTCTTTCCTTTTGCTGTGTGTTTATTCTTTGCATTTCGTTTGGTCTCTGTTGGCTGCACCTCTGGCTTGCTCTGGCTTCTTCCTGGCCTGTGTGCAGATGAGCTCTATTTCTGCTCACCATCTGGGGAGCTGGAGTTTCACTGTCCAGTTTACTCCTTCCTCTGTCCTCCCCACTCACACATGTGGCCTGAGCCTTCTTTTTACCCAGTGACTGAAAGCATGCAATTTCCCTGCTTGCAGCCAGCCTAAGAACCCCCCTCTTCAGAGACTTGGGGCTTGCATTACAGCAAGTGCTGAGTACACAGAGTGCACAGGGGTATGAAACAAGTGACCCTTTAGTATGCAGTGAGGCTGATTTTGTGAGTATGTGGCCAGGCTCCTAAATACAAACTGGAGTGCTGTGCCTGCTCTGTTTCTCCAAGAAATTTTAGGTATTAGAGAAAATGGACATACTGTTTCATACTTTGTTAGTCATTTGCGATGGATGGAGGGAGCTGGCTTGCACTCTTGTCCTTCCAGAATGTTTAGCAATGCAGCTTAAGCACTATGCTGCTTTTTCCCACTGACCCAGAAGTCCTTGGGATCAGTGGGGATCTCTCTGCTTCCTCTCGAGACTGAGCTGCTTTTCTCTGTCCTGTGTGTGTTGCAGGGAGGTGTGTGGCACAGGCCAGCCATTCACCCGGAGATCACAAACTAATTGAAAAGTTTCCCTCTCCCCTTGCTCTACATTTTGACTGTGTGGCTGGATGACATCTAGCAGGACGCCCTTCCCCCTCTCTGGTATGTGTGCCAAGGTTGGCAATACTCAACTGCTCTTCTCCAGGCTGAATTTTGCGCTACATAATCTTGGTGATTCTTCAGTTTCCCAGCTTTTGGCAAATCTTTTACCCGATGCATAGCTTTGCCTTGATTTCCTCACAGAGCAGAAATTGAGAACATCTTTCCCACAGCAAGATACTTTGTCTTTGTGGGGTATGCCCTGTTACATCATGTATCAAAAATCTATCCTAGAGTGTCTTCTGATGTTTTCCTTCCCTTTAGCTGAGATCTGTTCTTGTGATGCAGGCAAAGCACTGGGAATGTTGTGAAGACCGAGACAATGTTTTCAAAGCCTGGAGACTGCAAAAACCTATTTTGAGCCATAACAGATGCTACTGGACATATGGAACAGCTGAGAGGACTTGCACCAGGACTATAAATGTTCTGCAGATCTTTATGTTCCTGGCTCAGTGGGTGGGTTTCCTATGGGAACTGAAAACTGGGGAGAAGTCAGTATAATGCAATCACTAATGTTCATTACTTTCCTGTGGCAAATTTTCCACAGGTAAGTGGGAGTAGCATATCTTTGGTGGAATAGGGCTCATGGTGACCAAAAAGTAGCCTAAACAACAGCCGTGATGTAAGAGGAAGGTCACACTGACCTATGGCTAACTTGAGACTGGAGTTTTTACAGCTCTCTATACAAATTTGAGAAGCCCAGGCCACCGTCTAAACTCTTTATTGATTTATTGGTAAATTTTACTATCTGCAATACTTTTGTCCTGAAGGAGTTTTGGACTCTGTGAAAACAGTGAGTTGTGGTCAAAACTAATCCCACAGTCCCCTGTTCCTCACGTCTTCTTTGTCACCTGCCTTCCTCTCCCTTCCCTACTGCTGCCTAGCAGTCAGGTTGCACTATTTCACACTTCATTTCCCAGTAAACTTTTTGTTCCCTTGTAAACTTTTCCAGATTCTAAAGCAGCCCTTCTTCTACAGCACCACTGTCCCAACCACTGCTTGAGCAATGGTAATTGCTGTTACCTACAGGGATTTTTCATGTTCCTCCCATTTCTCCTGGTCCCAGCTTACAACCGGGTGCTGCATGACCATTCTCTCTCCTTCTCCCAGCACTCTTCCAGTGAACATACTGAGTGATGCTCATATACACACAGACTTTACACACTAAAGGCACATTGCTCACAGACCTCATTCAGCACAAAGACCTGGAGACAGATTAGCTCACTTGCATGCCATGGAGCCTTTCTCTTCCTGCTCCAATATGCCTGGCTCAGCTAGCTGTTGAGCAAGACTGCTGTCTGCAAGTGAACTGTGTTCCTCCCACCTCCAAGTCCAGTGTAGGGAGTTTTCTTTGCCTGTTCAAGTTGGCTCAATGGCAAAATGTCAGAGCATTACTTGCCCTCCCCTCTCCACTTCCTTTAGAAAAGAGAGTGGCACCAATCCTACACGGACATGTTGGCTAGTTCTTCCTGATTTCTTGTTTGGTTCCTCATGCCACATAATCGCAGATGTGTGTTCCCAGCCTGTCAGAGTGGTGACACTGTCTGTGCCAACACACGGTGATCCCTGCTCCCACTGCTGCTCCACAATGCAACGATTCCCTAAGAGCAACTCCACAATATCAGTGGTGCATCATATACCATGTACACAGCTGACTTATCAGGCTCCAGTGGAAGTACAGAGGGCTGAAGTGTGTGTAGCTTTCTGCAGGATTGCACTGCAAGCCTGCTGGCTGCTGAACCAAGAAACTCAGTTTACCCCCTGCTCTGTTCTCTTCTGCTGTTGTTCAGTCCACTATCCAACGGCTGTCAAGTTTTTCCTGCTCCCAGTCTGCCTGTGCAATAGTCCCTGTGATTTCACTGGATACTTAGCAGGGCTGTACAGTGTTACACAATCACACAGCCCCATGTAAGCTCTTGCTTGCTCTTTTCTCTCTGTTTCTGTGATGTGTTTTATATGTAGTTATCATCAAAGCAGGAGGAACAGCCATAGAATCATAAAGCATTAAGGTTTGAAAGGACCTCCAAGATCATTGAGTCCAACCTTTGACCAAACTCCACTGATTATTTAAACTTATCTCTCCTGTGTTCTATTGCTTGATTTTAATGGACCTTAACAAGGGCATGCTAGGTGCATCTCAGAACTATGTCTGGTGATGATGTGCAATCAGGTCTGTATTTAGCCCACACCACCAACTCATTGGAGCATTTCAGTTGGTAACTCACCACAGACTGGCTTCTCCCTAAACAGGGCTTTTGCGTACTGTGGGGAAATCCCTGCCCTGGTGGGTTTCCAATAAATTTTGTGCTGTATATTCCAGGAGACCGGGCTCTGGTATTGGAAGTGGTGTTCATTGATATCTTTCCTTACTCACCATATACCTCTTTAAATTTACCAGTTAACTGCTCAACCCATAGCCGTGGAGTAGACTCGAGGTGCCAACCACAGGTGGAGGCTGGTTTTGATGGAAGAAACTGTGCCCTGAATACAGACCATCCTGGACTCATGAGCAGCACTGTCATGGGAGAGGTTGGAGAAAAAGGTATTGAGAGCAAAAGCTGGACCCAAAAAGGAGCAAGAGGCTGAGGGGCTGTGAGAGGAGGAAAAGAGGAGGGTGAACTGTTGGTAAAAGAGGGAAGAAAATTAAGGCAGGGCAGATTTCTTGGAGGGGGAGATAAGGGGCTGTAGGCTGCTACCCAACTGCTGTATTCGTATCGGAGAGCCACAGACCTCACCCTAATGCTGTGCTGGAGCTGCAGCCAGTACAGACAGGGTCCTGCATTCCAGGGCAGAGGTCTCCAATTTGCCAAGGTTTGACTTGCAGCCAGAATTAGGAGAGCAGCAGCCTGACAGCCCAGAACTGTGTTGCACTGTGTGATGTTTCAGCTCAGGCCAATGTTAGTCTGAGAATCTTTGATGCACATTATTGCTCAGTGGAGACTGGCCCAAGGTCTGGGCACTAATTTTGAGAGTCTGCCCCGTATAGGTGGGCAAAAATATTTTTTCATCCTCTCTCTGTTATTCATCACTCTCATGCTGGTTCCAAATTATTTGAATTTTACACCCTGAAGCAGCTGAATTGTTCCTGTGCTTAAATTAGCTGAAGGTCATCAATCTTCAAACCTTTTCCATGTTACACTCTCTCTCCTCCTCTTTGCACTCCTCATGGAAGGAGCAAAGTACACACACAGTCTTTGTGAAGGAAATCCTGGATAATTTAAGGGAAGGGTGGCACTACCTTCATACCCTGTAATAATAAAAGGGAGTAATTTGCAAGTAAAAGAAGAGGGAAGGGCAAGAAGAAAAGGAATGTAAGAGTAAAACATAATGTTTCTCTTTATACAGCTTCTTCCCTCAATAATCCCTGCCCCAAAAGACACGAAGTTTTAGATGCAAACAATAAATTGTTTGCAGGGCACCACAGCGTTTCTGCAGTGCTGCATTGCCTGGCAAAGAAGAGCAGGGAAGTTACTTAGACAAAGGAAGGTTTTGGGCCACATAGAGGTGAAACACTGGCCTTTCCTTTCCATTCTTAGTGTGTTCAAGCTGCTGGCAAGCATGACTGTGCTTAGATGGGAGTGGGAAAAGCAGAGCTGCCAGAGAGGGAGCTTGTTCAAGTTGTGTCTGTGCCCAGGAATGTGTTTGAACAGAGTCCCATGGGGCACAGGCTGCTGAGTGCCCTGCTCAGCCTGGCAGGAGCGAGTAACAGAGGCAAGGCTGGATTCTGTGCTGTGGGATTGGCACATCGGTCTCAGCGGGTGATATGTGCCTGGGGCAGAGGTAAAACTCCACACAGAGCTAAGTTAGAATCTGAGCTCTCTGTTGCTGAGACACAAGGATGGCAGGAGCACAGGAGAAGGATGCAGGGGGGTCTCTGCCTAGCGTGGTTTGTGCTGGTAGGGCAGCACAGTGGGGGAAGTTTGCTGAGTCAGTGACTTTTCTGGGCTGGAAGAAAAATTATTCCTGACCCCTGCCAGCACTTCATGCAGATCCAGGATACGGTTCCCAGAAATGTCCCTACATATATTAGCAAGAAGGCAACTGCGTATCTTGCTGCAAGAAAGCATGGCGACTGATGCAGAACTGAGCTGTGAGCCTGGGGTAATGGATCTCCTGAAGGGAATGCTGCGAAGCACAGCACCGAGGAGCTTAATTTGCTGACTGCCAGGAAGCAGGTTGTTCTTCCTGTCTCCAGGGAAGCTTGCAGACAAGCCCCAGCACTGGAAGCAGACAGAGTACCAGCCGCAGGGCCGGGATCATGTAGTGCAGTGCAGCCCACCTCGTTACAGCGTCCTAATTGCAGTAACACCGATCTGGGAAAACTACAGTTCCCATCACCCTTTTGTGCATGTCTCTGTGAAACTACATTTCCCAGAACCTTTTAATGAGCCGGAGAGGATGTCTATGGAAATAAATGCCGACGATTTTTGCATAACACTCTGCACCTCCGGAGTGCTGGCCTTCCTTTGGCTTGTGAAAACGGGAACAGGGGAAAAGCCAGGAGGTGTCAGCGTTGTGGAGTTGTGGTTTTGCCTACCCCTAATAGCCGCAGTGATATCCTCCACCACCGAGCATCATTCCTCCTCTCAGGACTCCCTTGGTGGTCACAGGGAAGATCCTGTTCCCCAAGAAACACGGCTGCTGCGGAGGGAGAGGCAGATAAACTACAGATCCCGGCATTCTCCGACAGGCAGCACCTGCGGCAGTCCCTGCACGCCGTGGGGGAGGTGGGGGTGAGGATGAGGATGGAGGGCAGGGAGGAGATGCAGGGCGCCGTGGGGCTACGCTGCACCTGGGACATCCCGCCACCCGCTGGCACCCAGGCCAAGTGGGTGAGGCTCAATGTGGGGGGCACCGTCTTCCTCACCACCAGGCAGACTCTGTGTCGGGAGCAGAAATCTTTCCTCTGTCGCTTGTGCCAGGGCGAGGAGCTGCAGTCGGACCGGGTAAGGCAGCTGGGTTGCCTCCCGCACCGTGCCCCACCGAGCATGGGGAGGGCTGGAGGGATGCAGGGATGGAACCAGACCCCGACAGATGCAGGAGCAACTGAGTGAGGAATGCCTGCTCTTTTTCCCAGGAAAGATTTCCCCTTGCTCGATCCCAACACCTTGCTATGTTGTAGCCTGGCGCCTGTCTTCCGGAGCTGGGGAAAAGAGAGGCCATCTCTCCTCTATTCCTGCTCTCCTGCTTCTCTGTCACTCCACATTCTAGGACTACTTCCCGGCTCTGTCTGCCTGACTCAGCCTTGTCCCCTGTTAGGGGATCTCTGCTCTCTCATGCCAGGCCTGGATGCACAGTTGCACAAGGAGACTGAGGCCTATTTTTTGGGCTTTTTAAACTGGGTTCATCCATGCTGAGGTGGGCATGCTGAGCAGATCAATACAAGAGTTAAAATCCAAGCTGGCTAGGGACTCTCAGATGCCCCTGATTTTCAAGGAATCTTAGAAATAGTGGACATTTTTGCTTAGGTTTTTATTTTCTTATAGTCTAGGGCATTCAAGGGTTGGTTATAAATTTCCCCTGGGTATTTTCTCCCTGTGGTTTATCTCTGCTGCTAGGATGAGACTGGTGCATACCTAATAGACCGGGACCCCACTTACTTTGGACCCATCCTGAATTTCCTCCGTCATGGGAAGCTGGTCCTGGATAAAGATATGGCTGAAGAGGGTGAGTTTTAGAGCTTAGAAACCTCATGCTTAATATTGTTGCTGTAGCCAGGGCACGACAGGACTTGTCAACCGTGTTGTCTCTTGTTCTCCTTTTGGAGATTCACATGGGGGGATTTCAGAGAGCTGTTCCTGCAGCTCTTGGGAAGCATACTTATGTCTCCTTTACTAAAGGGGAGTGGGTGAGGAAGGCATGCCGCAAGTGTTGTGACTGCACGACTGTTTGTCCAGCAGAGATGTCACCAAGACATAAGTAGGCAGGATCTCAGAGCCTCAATAAACCATTTTTTACTTGTTCCAGATCCACTTTTAACCAGGTTCTGTGACTGAGTTTTCTGTTAATGACTGTTTCTAATTAGGAATGAAAACCCAGAAGACCAAACAAAACCAAGCTCATCTCTTCTAGTGACTGTAATAAAGACCATCACTAATCAGTGATATGCAATTATGCTGCTTGTGCTCTGATGAGTTGTGGACTGCAGCAGTTCCACTTAAGCAACCCAGTCAAAGCAATCCCTCATTTGAGGGTGACAGTGGATCCAATAGGATAACTCAGTAACATCACAGTATTACCAGCCAACAGTCTCCAATGCCTTGTTATTTTTTGGATGCTAGAATCTAATAAGGAGCCAATTCCAAAGACAGGCTGTTCTGTCTAGCCCTTGCCAAGCACAGTTTCAACATGTTCATTAGTCTTCTTGCCTCTCTTACACATTTTTACCTAAAGCAAGGAAAGTTTTCTTCAGAATCATCTTATCAGTTATAATTCCAAAAATATATCTAAGTAATGGTACAGGATTGTAATGAGCCCAGTTCTGAGATATTTCTTACTTGACATTTTTTGTAAACCTGACATCAAACAGAGTTCATCCACAGGTTTTAATATCAAATCTAAAATATAAACAGGAGTCCAGTTCATAACTTAGCATTTCCTTTTGTTCTTGGTGCAGACACTCAAGCTGGCATAAAACTAACCCATTAGACAATTCAGTGCTGAATGAGGGACTCAAAAGAGGTCTGAGTGTGTCAGGTAGTGATGGATCAATCTCCACCTGCATTATCTGACTACTGTCCTGGGGACATGAGAATGTTGGCTCCTAGCCATCTTTCCCTCCCTAACCCTCTGGGAACCACCTCCCTTTCCCTGAAGGCCTGCTAGCTAAGAGGTGAGCCTCGGGAGAGGTGATGGATGCAGACACCATAGAGAAAAAACCCCAAACACTTCTCTGTTTACCTGCTTTGAGGTGAAGCACAGGGAAGAGAGCCAAAGTTCATCTAAAGTCACAGGCTGTAACTCCAAGTGTCCCAGGAGGTAAGCCAGCCTTTCCCAGGGTCTTTTGGTGACTTGTCAGAACCACAAGTTATGGTTCTCTGCCTTAAGAAGAAAGCTTGAGCAAGGTGATAACTAGTGGTCATTGAGAGAGGCTGGAGCCTACATTTGTTCTCCTTGTCCAGTTGCCTGGGAAAGATTTTAGCAGTCCTCAGCACAGGCCTTCATGGGCAATGCCCGTTTCTGTAGTAACAGGCAGCACAAGGAAATTGGGGTGAGCATTAGAAACATGATGCAGAGAGCCAAGATTCAATTCTCTGCAGTAAGAGTTTCAAGCAGTGGAAACCTGTTAAAAAGTGAGGCTGCTGTGTAATTTCTCCCTATGGACCTTGGGAAGCTCAGTATTGATCTTTAGCAAGTCAAAAAAAAGGACATGGATGGTTAACTTTCTGTCTTTGTGATCCTTTTGTCCTTCTTTCTCAGGGATCTTAGAAGAAGCTGAGTTCTATAACATTGGTCCTTTGATCCGAATAATCAAGGACCGAATGGAGGAGAAGGACTACACAGTCACTCAGGTATGGCAAGGTAGAGTGGGGTGGGCAAAGCAGGGAATATAAAAAGGGAGAGATGAGTCTAGAGGGAGAGCAGACTTGGGAGAAGCAGCAGGGAGCAACTAATTAGAGATTATGTGCTGGTCCCTGCACATCAGAATCTTGCATGGGACAAGCTGCCACCAACTTAATTACAATAAATGAGTTACAGGCTTGTTTTGCATCCCCAGAAGTAATGCTGGATGTAGGCCCTGAAACTAAATCAGCTCCTCTAATGTTTGGAACAGGAAGCTGATTGCTGTGGAATAAAGAAGAATGTGAGGAGAGCAAAGATGTCATGGAGAGGAGGGTTCTGGTGTGGGGAGTCTTGGGAGTGTAATCACAGTGAAGAGCATGGGGATACCTGTAGAGAAACCTGAAGGGAACAGGTGAAGAGATGTCTATGAAAGAGTTAAATGCAGACAGTGAGTCACCAGGAATCAATCCTGTGGCAAAATCACACCTTGTCTTGACTAGTAACCTTTGAAAATCTGTCTTTGAAGGAGCATTGGCTGCTATCTCATTTTTCATCACATCTGCCTCGGGTTGTGAGCCTCCAGCAACACAGTTACTTAGTGTTGCAAACCTCCATCAGCATTTGTGGCATTTGCGAAACTGATTTTGTAAAGACAAGTGCAAACTTTCTATCAAAAGAGTCCAGTATCTTCTGAGGACAATGCAAGAAGCATTCTGCTCAATCCCTCCTTTCCAGAAGAGTTACTCTTGCTCCTCATGACAGCACAGTAGAAATCTGGGTTGTGGTTTCCACTCTTCTTTCACTTGGGACATGGGGAGAGACAGGTCTATCCAGGAGGGGTACTACCACTTCATTCTGCAGGAGGGCAACAGCCCTTAGCATCTGGCCATTGTCAACGTGCTCTTCAATTTTGCTGTCAGGTGCCTCCTAAGCATGTCTACCGTGTGCTACAGTGCCAGGAAGAGGAGCTCACTCAGATGGTTTCCACTATGTCAGATGGATGGCGCTTTGAACAGGTATGGATAAGGTGGAGTAGGGTGGGAACGAGTTGCCTTTTGGGAAAAGATCATGGATATCATACAGTCCCCAGGTAAGACTCCTTCCGTCTCTGAGAATATTGGGTAAGTCATTACTCGAGCCATCACACTGGCTCTCTCTTGCCCTTTTTGTAGAGATTTAGAGGATACTGTGTGAGGTCAAACTGTTTTGAATCCTGGCTAACTTTTGGTTCTCTGTACTGTCTCCTCAGCTTAGTTATAAGGACTTTCCACTGTGGGTATGGACTAGACTCCATGCTGCAGGGTGGGCTTTCTGCCTTGCTCCCCAGATGTTTGCAGGAACATGTCCTTGTGATTCTTGCTCTCATCTTTTTTAGCTTGTGAACATTGGCTCGTCCTATAATTATGGGAATGAGGATCAGACAGAGTTCTTGTGTGTGGTCTCCAAAGAGTTGTACAACTCCCCCAGTGGCCTGAGCTCTGAGCCGAGCCACAAAGCCAAGGTGAGATCAACTTTGCTGTGGCGCTGCTCCCCTTGCCTATGAGATCCTTCACTCTTGTTTGCTCCCTCTCTCTTGCCTCTCTCACCTGTGACTGTGGGACACCTCAGTGGTGAAATAGGGGCCTGTCCTGGTGTTCAGCACCATGGCATTATACCCATTGCCCGAAAGGAGGAGTGTGCGTGTTGGAGAAGTGGTGTCTGGCTGTATGTGGCAAATGGCTTTAGCAAGTGATCCTGGCATTTCTCATGCTACTCTAACATCCCCCTCATGCCTCCTCATGTCCATGCTGTGTGTGTCACTGCCTTTAGGGCATTGTTTCCCTGAAGGTTTTGCGGCATTCTCTTTCCTTTTGCTGAGTCTTAGCCTAAGGGGCCAATATCTCCTGCTCCCCTCTTGAGGGAAGGACAGAAATGTGTGGCAGTGCATGACATCTTGCAGACACCCAGGATACAGGAAGGAACACTAGCAACTGATGGCGGTTGTTGGGCAGTGGGGTCACAGCACTTGTAAGTGGGTTAGATACCCCTGATGTGATGCTCCAGAGGAAAAAAAGTCTCTCTGCTCCCTGACCCAGAATTGTCTTGGCCATGGGGAAAGGTCCCTTTTTATTTCAGTGTCATGAGAATTGCTTTATTCCCTTGTGTGTCAGAAAGAACTGCTGTGGGTCATCTTGCAAGTATCTCCACTCTTTCTTCCTTTTGTCCTGCATGCTGGGCCACAGAGCACAGAGGAGGACCTGGAGGAGGAAGAGCAGGAGGTGGAGGAGGAGGCAGAGGCAGAGACAGAAGCAGAAGCAGAGGAGAAAGGTGCAGCAAATCCTTGAGGAAAATGATAAAAATACCCCCCCAGGCATAGACCCGTCCACCTTTCTGGTGAGAGCTCACAGCTAGCAGCAGGGAAGGACTAGAGCAGGTCTGGGATGTGGGGGCTGTCCTCTCCAGGAGTTGGAGTCTCTTTGGAGATAAAGCTGAGAGGGGAGACCTGTTACCATGGCTGCTGCTTTGTATTTTAAACTGTTTGGTTTATCTACGGTTTTATTTTTATTTGCAGACTGTCCATCTATTCGGGATTGCGCTAAACTCTCTTCCTGCGGACCCTCCCTTCTGCTCCCCTCCGTATCCATCCCAGCACTGTCATCTACCTCCCACATTGCCCCACTCGCCAGCCTCCAGCCTCCAACATCCTTCCCTCTGCTCTCTTTGTCCCCCAGGGCTCAGAGTGGTCTCTGCCCAGGGCCCTGTCTCTCTCTGCTCCTCACTTTTCCTCCTCTGCAGGTATGTTACCTGTCTGCACTCCCAGCTCCTGCCAGCCTGAGCTCTGCATGAGTGACTCACTTCCCTCTTGTGGGTATGGCCCTGGTTTGTAGAGCTTGGGGAGGGGAAGGAGGGAGGGGAGGTTGACTCATCCCTAAGGTGGCTCTACCTATTCCCATCCTATGTGTGCTTTTACTTGCCAAGCAGATCCTATGGCTCTGGACCAGAGGCTCTGGCAGCAGAAAGGAGAGTGCAGCTGCGAGAGGGGTGGAAATGAATGCAAAGCAGGCAGGGGTGGTTCGGGGAGGGGGGGGAATTTTGCCACGTGTCTCCGTGACACGAATGCCAGATCGCTCCTCCAGACTGCCGTCCGCAGCTCTTTTTCCTGCCAGCCTGAGAGCAGTTTGCAGAAGGCAGCCTGTTATTTTTCCCTCCCTGCTGCCACTTCCCTGGGCTTTTCCCCCACTGGCCCTGCCTGTGTGTGAGCACAGTGGGAAAGGGTGGTAAAGGCAGAGCAGAAACGACTGGTCTCCCCTCCAGGTGTTCTCACAGCTGCATGCAAAATGAGCCTCTCAGCTCTGCCTCCTGCTAACTAGGAAGGCTGTCTGGCCGACATGAGTGGGACTGGGTATGGAAACCTTTAGAAGGAGGATTCCTCTCCATACTGAAAATCTGTGGGGCTCTAGTTAAACTGAAAGTGCTCAGTGCCACTCTCCATCTGTCCTGGTTCCGGGCACTCGCTAGCTGGCTGACATTTCTCTCTCCCTCTCTTTGAGAGCCTCCTTGTCCATGGCTGTGGGACCTGTGTGTTATTATTTTAAAAGTCAGTGTATGTTAATTGCATGGACCTTTGCTTCCTTTTGCTCTGATTTTCCACCTTCGCTCCACACTTCTTTTTCTTCTGTTCTCATTTCCTCTGTCATTTCCTTTTTTTTATTTCTCGCTTTCCCCTCCATGCTCAGTTGCTCTTTTCCCTATCATTGATTTTATTTCTCTTTCTCTCTCCTTCTATAGCTGTTACAAGCCAGAGATCTGAGGATGTGATCCCAACACTCCAGCCTTTCCATTTCTTGTTTATATCTTTATTTTTGTACTGCAGTGTATGGCAGCCCCTTGCCCCACAGTGACACCCTCCAGCCCCCTTCACTCTTCACATGCAGCCATTTTTTTTTACAAACTCACTTAAGAGGCCTGAGCCTCCAGCCTTGGAGAAGGGGCAGATGCTCCATGGAGGCCCTGGGCTGCTGTAGGAGCTGGAGCCCATGGCCCCCTCCTGTGCCTGGCAGTTTGGCTTTCCTTAGTGTCACAGTGGCCCCTGGTGGGGACATCAGCAATCAGCCACTGCAGCCTGCGGTCCCTTCCTGAGCACCCTGGATGCGAATGGGAATCCGAGGTGGTGACAACTGCAGAAGGACCGGTCCTTGCCCTTTTGCTGTTGCAGGCAGTTGGTCTGGGCTTGTGGCCAGAGGGTAAATACAGAGCCACAGTCCTTTTCTGGGCCACCTGCATTGCTTGGGGGTGTCCCTGTGCTGGGTATCATGCTCCTTGGTGCCTCCCTCCGTGTCCCCCACAGCAGCCCTGTGTCAGCGGGGTGAGGAGGAGACAGGTGTGCTGCCCAGGTACCTGATGTGTCAGCCAGCACCAGGAGATCCCTGTTTTGGGGAGCGGGGCGTTTGCTTCACTGCTGTGTCTGAAGACTCCTGAATAAAATTCACTGTCTGTTCCTCCTTTTCTGCCTCTCATTTCAAGTGGCAAGAATTCATTGCTGGTAGAAGGGGGTGGGAGTTGGAGAAAAAGAGTTTGGATTCATCATCTGGAGCCACCAGAAGCTGCTTGTGCTGTGGCTGTCTTCTGGGGGCTGGAGGTACTTCCCACTGCATCTGTGCTGCATCCCCACTGTAGGCAGCTGGGCTACAGAGCAGGTTTGCTTATTGGTATCTGCATCCCTAAATCATAACAATAAGTGAGGACTACCTGCCTAGCTAAAGGATCGACCCCATTGTGCTAGGGACACCTGTGGTGATGGGGTGGGCAGGGGTGTGGAAACTTATGCCAGTTGCCAGTGCCAGGACTGAAGTTTGGTCAAAAACATACAAACCCCAAGATAGGTTTTAACAAAATGAGGCAAACTAGAGCCAAAAAATCCTCAAATTAATTTTATTTCTAATTCCAGAGAGCAGTCTGTTGTGTATATATCCATACACACACACACACGTGTATATCTTTAGTAAAAAAACCAAACCCATAGCAGTTGCACTTCAAGCACTGTTCCCTAAAGCCTTCTCTTTCAATTCCAGCATTACCTGAGATAGGAGATGGAAGCAGTTGAGACACCCTTATGTTAATGGTATTTAGAAGGGCTGAGGGAAAGGGATGGGAGGCTGCTCCAGTGTTTTTACTGAGGGAAGTACAGCAGTGGAGGCTGGGTGCTGCTCCAGCAGGAAGGCAGGACACGTGCTTGGGGGCGCAATGCTGGACTCGTGCCTGGGAGTCAGTGAGACGTGAAGAGTTGCCTGGCTGAGCTGAACAGCACACTGAACAGCACACGCCAGCTAAGAAAAGAAGCAATTAGGGAGATGGAAGAGGAGGAGTGATGGGAGGGGAAGGGGGATGAAGGATAAGCAGCAGGAAGGAAGAGGGAGGCAGATTGATTTCACAGTTACTGGAATCTCTAACTACATCAGTCACATTTTCTTTCAGCAAATGTTCCAGCATAAGACTGTGGCTGAATCACATGGTTCATGAAAAGTTCAACTCCCCTTATTCCTCTTCTCAGAAACCATCAACTTAGGCCTATTGCTGTGTGTCATGTCATTGCCCCCAACTCCTCCTCCGCCTCTTCCCTTCCCCCCTCTCTTGGATGGATGGCCTAAAAACCCCTTGGGATGCTCCCTGTGAAGCACTGATAGGGAAGAGGTCTGCTTGCTTTTCTCCACAATCCCCACGGCAGCCTTTTCTTACCCTATTCAGAAGAGCATCCTGGGTCTGACAACATCCCACACTCTCTGAGAGGCAAGTGAGCAAGATCAGAAATGAGTGCCATGTGAGTGTAGGTGTGATGGGGAGAAGATAGAGATGCACTTTTTTCAGCTCATGGTTTGGTTTATCCAGCCCAGCACTTGAGTGATCCTGGTGTATACTCCATAGTGATTTGAATGTGCGCATCCCATTCCCCAGCTGACCAAACCAGCCAGAAACCATCTGCCACTGGGTTCTTTGCAGGCCAGCGGACCTCCAGAATCACCCTAGAGAAAAAAAAAAGTAAAATGTGGTGATGGTGATCCACCAGCTTCTCCTGCTGCGTGATTACACTGTCATTGAGTCCCTCTATATGCAGATTCTTGTATCCCCTCAGCTCATGCCTGGGACATCTACCACATTCCTTGTACCTTAGGCAGATGTCAAAAACAGTCTCCAGTGCAAACACCTATCTCATTCATTCCTTCATCATGCAAATTCCTCCCCCTTAGCCACATCCCAAGAAGCTGATTGCTCTACTGTTTCCTTCTGCTCCATATGGCATTTCCAAATATGTGGCAAGCAAGGAAGCCGGTGGAATTTAACTGGATACTGGGAGGGATGGGAGAGAATTCCTGGAGATTGATAGTAGTGAAGGAACAGACAGGTTACTGTGTGTGACAGGTGCTAAAGAGGCTGAGGCTGTAAGAGACTAATGTAGACACCTGACTTGAAAGTGGTTGGTTAAGAGTGAAGAGTGGGCTGAAATGAGAAAAGGATATGTTTAACTCTATTTGGATACTGTCTAAGGGAAGAAGCGGCCCTGAGAGCTGTCGTTGGCCACTTAGATCAGAGGAAGTGTTGGGGAAGGGTCATCATATGGTCTTTTAACCCCCATTTCAGGCTGTGGATTGCATTTGTGAGACTAGAGACACACTCCACCTCTGGCAGTCAACCCTGATCCCATAACTCCTCTGTCACCTGGCAGGCATCTTTCTTGCCCTTGTAGTACCCAGCACACAACATCCTGGGAGAAATCATGTAGTGATAGGCCTCACTGCAGATGTTCTGCTGGATGAGCTGCACGTCCACCTTCTGTAGAACATTGCTGATGTGCCCTGAAAGGTGGAGCACCAGAAGCAGTGCAGGTGAGTTATGGTGGAACTTCCCCGTTTACCATGATCCCCCAGCCTATGCCTATCTCGCTGCATGCTGAAACCTGCCATTATAATTTCTGTTCTGCTCTCCACTGGCATCACAATCTCTGACCTTCAGTAGTGCACTTCACAGAAGGAGCAAAATTCCCTTTCAAGCCTTTCCTTACAGAAATATTTTGTGGGCACTTCAGCTTTTGGGACAAGGGGGATTCTGGTTTGGGGAAACCTCTGGGTTCTCAAGAGTCCTGAAGTTGTTTCTCATTGAAATGGATGTTAAGCTTTTCTGTCTAAGTATGCAAACCAGAAGTGTCCAGGTCTATATAGTCTCCTGAGTGTTTCCACTCAGGAAGCAGCAGGAGCAAGTGTGTGAGTGGGTAAAGGCACTAAGCTGACCTGAAGGACTATTCTAGTCTTTCAGTGAAGAAACACACGCTGTTCTCATATAGATTACCAGATTCTCAAGCCTGCTTCTCCAAATGAGGTTTCAGGACACTCAGCAGGTAACTTTGGTTTATTACTCAAGCACGTTTGGGATGAACAGAAGCCTGGTCTGCCTACCACACATTTGAACCTATGCTTCTGCCTTGGTACTGCTACAGTAATCCACCAACAAAGACCTTCAACCTACCGCCTTCCTTGAGGGCTCCCCAGCCAGTGATCCAGCAATGAAGTCCAGGCTCAAAGAAGTGAGAAGGAGCAGGCAAGCAGATAGGCTGGATTAAAGGTGAGATGATCACAGGATGGTCCAGCTGGAGCAGGGCCACATCGTAATCATGGCTGTCCTCCTCGTAATAAGGGTGGAGGAAGAGGCGGATCACCTTGAAGGACACCTCTGTATGGCTGGTGGCATTTTGAAAGTATTTGCCCAAGTAAACGGTCCATATGGAGGGGGAGGCCAGCCTGTAGGATGCAGCAGAGAAGCATGGGATAAATACAGCATGCTCTGCTGGTAATGCTATCCCACCCCATCTCCGTGACTGGAGCCATGACAGCATGGGTACATGCCAGAGCCAAAGGAAAGGTGGAGCTGTGAAGCATTTTCTGCTAAAATTGACCCCTCAGAGCTGTTCTGTGAATTCCAACATTGCTACTTTTCCCCTGCATGCACACTTAAATACTAGTGCATGTATCCATACCCCTTTCTCCTGTTCCAAGCCATGGAGAAGCATGGCAGGGGTGCCAGATGATGGGTGCAGATGCCCCATGACATTTTCACCAGTCAGAAGAGCCTCCAGCTATGCATTACACGGCAAGAAATGCAAATCTTTCTATCCAGGACCCTCCCCTCTCCATTTACCTCTCATCTTGGAAGCAGTGCGCGGCTGAGACCACCCAGCGGTCAGCAATGAGTGTTCCCCCACAAATGTGGCGGCCCCGAACTTGTAGGCTGGCCTGCCACGGCCATTCCCCTTCCACAGAATTCAGACCACCCACAATCCTGCTGAGAGGGGCTTGCATCCCACAGTCTGAGGAAAAGACACAGCAGATACTTCAAGGAAGGAAGGGAACATGATATACTGTGCCTTCCCTTTGTTTCCTACTTAGTTGACTGAAGAGTTTGACCTCTAATCCCTTGCCTTACCCAGCCAGTAGATGCTTTATGTACTGCCCAAGACAGATGTAGTGAGCACTCCCTCCCAGTGTGTGTCCCTGCTGACACCTGCACAGTGCTCCCCACCTCCAGCTGCAGCCTGGGCACGCCTTTGGGGCAGCACACTGACTGTGCCGTCAGGAAACCCTTGCAGTCATTCCCTTTCACCACCTACCAAGGCTCCACAAAAAAACAAGTAGAAAAATTAAAACATAAATTCTCTCCCTGTCAGTGGCCATGCAGACATGGGTGGTTTTCCTGGCTGGAGCCTTGTACGATGGCATTACTTCACATAAGCCAACACTGGGGTCCAACTGTGGGTTGAAACTGGATTGTGAGACAGGACTATTGGACTGGATGCCTCTGCCTGAAGAAGATGAGCTCAGTACAGAGTTGGCTCGTTCCTGCTGACCCTGCCACCTCAGGATGGAGCAGGAGCACTGATACTGTGGGACTGGGGTGGGGAGAAGGTGGTGGAACAAGGGAGGGTAGGTGCTTCTTCTGGGATGGCGAGGGAAAAGGGGACAACCTGCAGCTGCTTGTCATCCTGAACCTGCCTTGGGTGACATGCAACCGATCATTTCCTCACCACAGTGCTTCTCATCGGACAGGTCCTTGCAGTCTGCAGTGGTGTCACACAGGGGGTTGGGTTTCTTCAGACAGGTCCCATCTTCGCAGCGGTAGGTGAAAGGACCACAGGGGACCCCTGCAAAAATGAAGAGGAGCCAAGGCTGAGGGAGGGCAGCTGGTTGTAGACATAGCCTGAAGTCCTTTAGGTGGGGCAGAAAAGCCAGCAAAGAGCTTGGGGAAACTCCATAAATGATGACAGGGAATTTCCTGAACAAACAAACAGCTCACAAACATCGTGAGCAGGTCAGGCAAGTTAACTCTCAGCTGGTGTCCTTATGTCACATGAAGGAATTATGCTTCTAGCAGCCTTGGCTCAAATGTAGGGGAAGTCATTTTTCATGCCAGCACTGTCCCCTCCCTACCTTCACTGCACTGCTCTTCGTCGCTCCCAT